GGTGTGAGCCTGATTTTTTTTTTTTAGCGTGGTTTCCTGGAAAGCACCCCTGGGTCAGAGTAACTTATTGTCCAATGATTGGTCAAAGGTTGCATTTAAGCCCCTTGTACCAGTGAGTCTTCCGCCCTGTGTTGATGGTCTGTCCAGCTTGCCGTGTGCTTTCATGTTTCCCCCACACTCTGCTCTGATTGCTCCTGAGTGGGTATGGCCTAGCACGTGTGTACAGCCTTCCTGACCCCCAGAGATGACTGTGATCCCCAGAGGTTTTTCTCAGGCTTCTCTTTCTCTATTTCTCTAGGTTAAAATTCTGGGTGCTCTGCCATCTTGCCTGTTATCCTAAAATACTGGGCTCTTCTTGATTGCTCTCCACCAAGACCATTATTGTTTTTGACAACATTCTTAGACATACATTTCTCCATTATCTGTTCCACCTGAAGCCAGTCCTATCACACAGAACTGTGAAGCTCTTTCTCCTTATGGCCTGCCTTTCACCCTGGGCAGAATCCTTATGCCATGGCACCAGAACTGGGATAGGCACCCACCTTTTCCAGAGTGACATTCCTGTTCTACCAATGGGCACTGGGGGGAGATGGCAGCTGTTGGTCTTCTTGGCTTGCCCTTCTCATTGTAGAACCTCTGGCCAAGGAGTACACTAGGGTGGGAGTGATCAGGGATCCAATATTCTCAGCCTGACATGGCTGAAGAAGTTTCCATCCTGCAAGTGGGGGCAGTATAGAGAAAGGGAAAACAAACTTCTCAACTACTCTTGCCTGCAACATGGGGCTGAAGGGTATGGGGCAGCTGGATGAGAAGCACAGACAGCCTCACTCTCCTGGCATAAAACTGGAAGTTAGGGGAAGAACGAGCCCGTCTTCTTGGCTGTAACTGCCCAGAGTGGAGCTTGTGTAACATGGAGCTGGGAAAGGGGTTAATGGCTCAAATATCATAGACTCTCAATGTTCTTAAGGTTTAGTAGTTTTTCTTAAATGTTTTTCTATTTGCTCTTTTCCCTAAGGGGGTCTGCTAAACTCCTTACTTCTCCATTCTGAAAGTCTCATACCCAGTCATAAATTTTTTATTGCTTGATCTGTTAAAATGATGAATCATATTGATTATTGAATAGTAAACCAACCTTCCAGTACTGTGATAAACCCTGCTGGATTACAATGTAGTATCCTTTTTACAGATTGCTGAATTCAATTTGCTAAAATTTTAAGGATTTGGCACCTATATCCATTGGTGATATTGGTCTGTACATTTCTTTTCTTGTAATTCCTTTGGTTTGTTTTCAGAGTAATGATGACCTCAGAATGAGTTGAGAAGTATGCTGTATTATTTTATTTTCTGGAGGAGTTTTTGTTAAATCAGTAGTATTTCTTTGTCAAAATTTTGGTAGAGTTAACTAGTGAAGCCATCCTGGCTTGGAGTTTACTTTGTGTAAAAGTTTCTAATTGCATATTCAATTTTTAAAACAGACATATAGTTATCAAGATTATCTGTCTCTTCATGAATGGGTGTTTGCAGTTTGTGTCTCTCAAGGAACTTCTGCAGTTCATATAACCTGTTGAGATTTTTTGGCATATAATTGTCATAATATTCTTTCGTCATGCTTTCAAAGACTGTTGTATCTGTGGTGATATCCCTTCTCTCTTTCTTGATATTTGTAAATTGTATGCTCTCTCCTTCTTTGATAATCAGTCTAGCTAGAACTATATCAATTTCAGTGATATTTTCAAAGAAACATCTTTCAATTTGATTGTTTTTCCTCTAGTCTTTTCTTGTTTTCTATTTTACTCATTTTTTCTCTTTATTTTTTTCCTACAAATAAATTTTAAAATTCCAAAAATATGATTAAAAGCTTTTAATCCTATGAATTTTGACTTAAGCACAACTTTGGCTGTATCCCAAAATTTTGATAAGTCGTGTTTTCATTTATATTAAGTTCAAAATACTTTCTAATTTCTCTTTCCATTTGTACTTTGGTTTATGAGATATTTAGAACGGTATTCTTTAGTTTCCAAATATTTGGGAATTTTCTCGACATCTTTCTGTTACTCATTTCTAATTTATTTCTGTTGTGGTCAGAGAACATACTTTATATGATTTCAATAATTTTAAATTTATTGAGACTTGCTTTGTGGACGAGAATTTGGATTCTATTGGTAAATGTTCCATGAACTCTTGAAAACAGATTGTATATTCTGTTGCTGATGAGTGGATTTAATATCATTTAGGTTAATTTGGTAAATAGTGTTTACATCTATATATTTACTGACTTTCTTTCTACATGTATATCAATTATCGTAAAAGGCATGCCAAAATCACCAAGTCTAACTGTGGATTTGTTTAATTTTCCTTTCGTTTCTATCAGTTTTTCTTTCACATATTTTAAGTTTCTGCTAGGAGGTGAATAAACATTTAAAATTGTTATATTGTATCTATGAATGAACATTTAGGATTGCTACATCTTGATGAATTGACACCTTTATTATTATGAAATGATGCTTTTTATCTGTACCAATACTTCTTGTTGTGAAGGCTGTTTAGTCTGATATTAATATAACTACTCCAGCTTTCTTTTGATTAGAGATTGCATGGTATATGTTTTCATCGTTTTACTTTCATCTATTAGTTTCTTTATATTGAAAGTGTTTTATTTGGTTTGTTTTTGTAAATTATATATATAATTGGGTCTTGAGTTTTATCTAATTTGATAACCGTTGCCTTTTTATTGGAGTGTTTAGCCCATTTATACAAAGGTACTTCAAAAAAACTTGTGGAAAAATAGAATCAAAAGATAATATGAATCTTTCCATGAACTTTTTGAAGACCCCTCATATTTAATGTGATTATCTATATGGTTGTATTTAAATTTAACATCTTGTTATTTATTTCCTACTTGCCCCACATTATCTTTGTTCCCTTTTTCCTCTCTTCCTTTCGAATTATTTTTTCATGACTGCATTTTATCTATTTTATTGGCTTATTAGATATACTTTAAATAATATTACAGTCCACCACATGTACCATAATAATAACTTCCATTTCTCCTTCTTTTTTGCTATTTTTGTTATATATATTTATTTTTACATGCATTTTAAAAAACCCCAAATATATTGTTTTGGGTTTCAACAGTTGATTATCTTTTAAAGAAAGATTAACAATAAGAAAAACAATGTTATAAATTTATCCATATATTTATCTTTTCTAGTGCTATTGATTCCTTTGCTTAGATCCAAATTTCTAACTGGTACTATTTTCCCTCTGCCTGAAAGACTTCTTTTAACATTTCTCTCACACTGCTCTTTTGGTGAAGTCTTCTCTTGACTTTTCAAGTCTGAAAACAGTCTTTATCTTGCCTTCATTATTCAAAGATTTTTTGCTGTGTACAGAATAATAAGCTGATAGATTTTTTGGTTTTGTTTTTAAAGTGCTTTTAAGATGTCACTCCAGTGTCTTCTGACTTTCATTGTGTCTAACAAGAAGCTTGCTGTTAATCTTAGGACTGTCTCTCTTTGAGTAATGTTCTTTTTCCTCTGGCTGTTTTTAAGATTCTCTACACTGTTTTTTGATGTACCTATCTGTAGTTTTCTTAATGTTTCCTTTTTTTTCTTTATTCTTTTTTTTTTTTTTTTGAAGTTGACTGAGCTTCTTAGATCTGTGTGTTTATATTTCTTCATAAAATTTGGAAATAATTTGGTCACTATTTCTTCAATTTTTTTTTCTTTTGCTAATCCTGCAGGACTTCAATTATACATATACAAGGGCGCTTGGAATTTTCCACAGATAACTCATGCTGTGTACATTTTTTTTCAGTCCTTTCCCCTCATGTTTTGTTTTGGATAACTTCTTTTGATGTTTTCAAATTTATTAGTCTTTTCTTTGGCAGCGCCTAATCTGCTGTTAATCCCATCCAATGCACTTTTCATCTTTATAAGTCCAATGTGGCTCTTTTTTTCATATTTTCCATTTCTCTCCTCATTGTGCTCATGCTTTCCTCTAACTTCTTGAGTATACATTGTATATTTTGTATATTTCTAATAAATGCACCTTTGCCTACTCATTATTTTTTATCAGTGACATTTCTTGGTCTTTTTATGCTAATTTATTTTTCTCTTCATTATTAGTCATATCTTCCTGCTTCATTGCATGATTCATAATTTTTTATTGGATGCCATATATTGTGATTTTACATTGTTGAGTTCTGGATTTTGGGGGGCATTACTTAAAATATTTGGGGGTTTTGCTCTGAGATGAAGCTAAGTTACTTGGAAACAGTTTAATACATTCAAGTCTTGCTTTTAAATTCTGTCAGAACAACCTGTAGACTAAGGCTAATTTCATCCCACTACTAAGGCAATATTCTTTGTGGTGTCTATCTGATGTTCCCTGAAATAAAAAGTATTTCCACTTTGGTTAGTGGAACACAAAATATTGCCATCCCTATGTGAGCTACAGGGATTGCCAGTCTGCTCCTTTACAGTGTTTTTTTTTTTTTTCTCCCCCAGCCTCAGTAGCTTCTTCACATGTGTACACTCACTGATCAGTACTCACCCAAAGACTCATGGGAGGCCTCTACAGGTCTCCTGGCCTGTCTTCATCAATGTAGCTCTTTTCTGCCTGGTACTCTGCCCTACAAATTCTGGCTGCCCAGGCCTACATTTACTCTAAAGTCTGTCACCTTAACTTGTTGAGACTGCTTCACTTTTTCTATTACCAAGAAAATCTGTCCAGGCAGTGAGCTAGGCACTTGTAGGGCTCATATCATTTGCTTTCCTTCTCTGTCTATCATGGCCAGAAGCAGAAGTCCCTCCCCTCTATTCTCTTGAAAATAATGGTAGTAAATCTTTGTCCGTTGAGAGGGGGTTGTTTTTTAGGAACTGTTAAAAGTCATTCAGAGCCAAATTAGTTTAATAAGGGGAATCAAACTAGGAGTGATTAAAAATGATTGAAAGTTATTTTATCATGCAGCCTATGACTAACTCTTTTCTTGTGTGCAGGTACAGGACACAATATCCAATCCTAGGACTCCTATATGATGACTATGAATATATACCACCAGGTCGTGACACACAGACTATTGTGATTGAGAAAACAGAAGATAAATGGACTTGTGTAAGTTCACTTGGGCTTTTCTAGTCCTATTTTGACTATATCTTAACAGCCTTTAAAAAACTGAAGTAAAATATCAAAGGAACCAAAAATTTTGAGTATTTTATTTTCTTTTAAGACTTTCCATGTTTCCATTACTGATATACTCATATAGTGGGAATTAAAAACTTTGGAAAGATTCATACCTGGAGTAATATAATTGATTATTTAAACTACAATAAATTAGATATGATTTTTACCCCAAAGAGGTAGATTAACAATAGCAATATTCTTCTATTTCTTTTTTTTCTTTCTTTTTTTTTTTTTTTTGCAAATCTGAGGAGTTATTGAACTGATTCCATTAAAATTTTCCAAAAATAGTTTCCTTCTTTCAAAAGCAGTCAGCAAATGTCATAGACAATTATGAAGGGGAGTGGAGGAAGGAGAAGAGGCATGTTTTAATAGAATTTGTCTTGTAATCTTAAATGTGGTACTTATACCTATAGATTATAATTTTTTAGAATTTTGAAAGAAGAGAGGAGATGGGTCTTTCTCACTAGATTGTAAGATACTCCAGCTTTAAATCTCACAGTTCTAGTGAGGCTGTTGAAGAGTCCTTTTAATGTCATGTACTCTAATATCTACCATCTACAACATCCTCCAAGATGACCAAGTGACATGGACCTTAGCTTCCTTCTAAGTTGTGCAATTCATTGCTAAGGGAGCTGTTTATTAAAAACCCTCTTATAAAGAACTGAAAGCTTCTTTCCTGAAATTTTTGTTTATTGACCTATTAACCTTTAAAGTAGTAATCATCAATAGGGGTTGTATATTCCCTAGTTCTCTCCAGGAACAATTTTGCTCCTTAGGGGACATTTAGCAATGTCTGGAGACATTTTTGGGTTTCATAACTGAGGGGGTGTGTATTATTGGCACTAGTGGGTAAAGGCCAAGGATGCTGCTAAACATCTAACAATGTGCAGGACAGTCTCCCACAATAAAGAATGATCCAGCCCAAAATATTAATAGTTCTAAGGTTGAGAAATCCTGCTAACACAACAGATTTTTTTTTTTTATCTAATTATGTACTCCTACACTATTGTGAGAGTCTCATAATAAGCCACTAATAGTGACAATGGGAATGTGTGATATCCTTCAGGTGCAACGGACAGAAAAAGGTTGAGAATCCCAGCTCTCACACCACACAGAATATGACTTAAAACATTGTGAAAATGACCTTTGTTTTGTTATGTTAAAATTCCCCACCTGCCAAACTGCTTAGGTATGAAAAGCAGGCAAAACTAATCCATGGTTATTAAAATCAAGAAGTGGTTGTTATCTTTGGGGGTGGGTACTGATTGCAGGGGAACATAAGGAGGGCTTCTGTGGCACTAATAATGTTCTGCTTCTTAATCTGTGTGGTTGCATATGTGTGTTCAGTTTGGTAAAATTCATTTAGCTGAATGCTGATAATATGTACACTTTTTCTACATGTTTATTATACTTCAGTAAAAGTCTTAAAATGCTTAAGTATACTTTGATGAGCAATAAATATAAAAATACCAATCAAAAAGTCTGCAGAACTTTTTGGAGAAATTTTAAATAACACTTCAGATGTACAGTTAATAATATTAAGCATCTATTAAATAACTTGGGTACAAAGTTATGCTATCTACCCTAAGTGAATTATTGTGCAGTATATTCATGTATTGAAACAACACACTGTACCCCAAAAATATGTACAAGTAAATGTTAAAATAAAAAATTGTCTTTTGATCAAACAAGCTCAAATATTTGAATAAACAAAAAATTCAGAAAGTTTTTAGCTCTGAAGCCCCTTCTTTAACTACAACAACATCAATCTGGTAAACAGTTGTCTCTCATTGATGGAAGCAACTAATGTTTAGAAGCTCCCATATAAAAATAACTATAATTTGAGCTTTGAAATACGTTTTCTTTAGGCCATTAATGAGTTGAGAATTAATTATTAATTATCAACTGATAAAGAGTACTTGATGGCCCAAGAACCAAATGATCAGTGAGAAAAAGTCACCATAGGATTTAAAATTTATCACTGAATTTAAATATTCAGTGACATGGGATAATTTGATACTGAAAGTTAAGACTAAGAAGCAATTGCTGCTACTAATCACATGTGTCCCAGAGGTGGCAACAATGTGAGGACCTGCCAAATGAAGTGTCTGTAGAATAGTAGCCATTACTTCTCTTTCAATTAAAAATGTGCAGCAGTAAACATCAAACTTGATATCTGAAGAAGCTACAGAGACAGGTAGCAAATTCAAAATATATTTAAGTTCATAGATGATAGATCATATTTATTAACAGAGACTTTGGTCATATCTAACCTCTAAAAATGACACTAAGGAGGAAATTTACTCAATTTTCCCTCCCTCCTGCTTAAAGTCATTTGAAACATGTACCTTGACTAAAGTTAGATAGACAAATCATTGTTTAATTGAATATACATATAAGAGTACCACAAAAGTGCAATATGCTTTCTTTGGTTTTATGCATATCAATTTAAATGATTTTCCATAACTGTGTATATACAATAATAACAATGTCTTCAACAAATTATGAACCAGTTGTAAGATAACCGTTTTTCTTTTTCTTTTCTAGCCATGAATGAATCTACTTTAACTCAAAGGAGGTTTTTTGTGTCTGCATTAGTAGTTTGTTATTTTCCATCATTAAAGGCCTTCAGAATTTTGAACTATGCAACTACCCAATGAATCTAATGGAATGAATTAGTTCTGCAGATGACAGTTTTCTAGCCATTTTTAAGACCTAAATCCTTTCTATAACATTTATGTATTCAAAATGACAACATACAAACTGAAAGAGGGACCTGCTTATTTAAACTTCGATTGCAGACGCTGTAGAACATAACCAGCTGTTTCTCAGATAGGGGGCTTCCTAGATACTGAAATAATTTTTGAAGTAGAGATTTTAATAAGTTATTCCAAAAGAAGATTTTCTCTGATTATTAGATGTGCAATTCAGCTACAAGATTAAATACTGTTTTTAAATAAAAAGAGGCAAAAGACGATTGAATTTTAAAATCTATAGTTTAACTAGTGCGTGATATATACAGCTTTTATTTGCTTTTCTCACATTAAACCTCGTGACTAAAAGAGATGCTTTATTACATGCTCTTTACATCTCATGAAGACATAACTAACTCAAAGGTGATGGTTAATTTCATTTAACAGGGAAGTGGGATAATATCTTTCTAAATAACTCAATCCACTAATTTGTATATTATGCTATTCTGGTTTTAAGTACATATCAGTGCCTTGGCAAATCTGTTCCTTCAAAGCATTTTCTCTTCAAATGAGCCCACCCACTTCCTGAAAAACATATAACACTATACCGTATACTAGCGGGTGGAAAGAAGGTAGGCTTTTTCTTAGTGTATACAAACTTAACATTGAACTATTGCATAGATATAAAGGCCTAGGGAATAAAAAATGGCAACGACAAATACTAGATACCTGTATCCTACTTAGGAGAAATGTTTTAGGGTAAAATATTTAATGTACCTAGAAGCTGATTGTTTAATTGGGCTCTAATAACCTTACAAAGTGAAGAGAGTATTTCTTAAATACAAGAATGAAACTTCTTAATTTCAACCCATCTGGCTAAGCTAAGTAGCAGCAAAAAATTAAAATGTTGCATTTGTCAAATTATAGATTAAGTCAACAAATATATTTGGGTTACATGTGAATGCAGTTTTACATTGAAATATCTCTGCAAATATCTGTTTAAAATTCTGTCATACCGCATAATTATATTCTAATAATTATTCATTATACTAAGAAACTGTTAAGATTAAAAACAGATAAGGCAATATATTAAGTGAAACCATAAATGAGGAGAAAATGCTTTTAATACTGTTTTATGGAAAAATTTGAATACGTCTCAATAAGAAGCTTAAAAACTTTGTTTTTAAGATAAAATGTTAAGCTCTGTAATGTGAATTGAAACAATTCCAAATTTATCAATATTTTGTGATAGATAATGTTAATATTCTTCATGGCTATATAGTCCTACGTTTTTTTCCTTGATGTAGGAACAACAGAGCAGTTTCTCCTCTACTAACTATTCATATATGTAACTGTAACAAGTGTATTATGTTATCCAGCCATTAAAATAATATAAGGGGAAGTTTTTATTAGTTTGATAGAAAGCTGCCATCATTACTGTTCGAAAATGAGAACAGGTGTGATTTTTTCAAAATACTCAAAAATAACAGTGTCCAAACTTGGGGGGCAGTTAAGTCAGTACTTCACTGGCCCACTTGATTCATGGATAGTGAATGGGGGTCAGAACAACGTCCTTATTATACTTAACAATTTTTAAAATCTATTACAAATTTTAATAGTATATATAGTTATATATATGACCATTTAAATATATATATATATATTTCTTTACCAATCTTCAACTAAGATCAATAGAAATAGTAGTTTAACACAGCTTATCTATGAAAACTGCAAAGATGTCAAGTTAAGAATGCCTTATTATGTAATTTCTATTCCAGTATGTTTTTGCTTTAGATTTGTTGAATAAAATGGAGACTGTGCAATGACATGCAAAGTAATTTGTTTATATGTCTAAATAAAATATATGAAGTATCTCTACGGTCTTTTAGGAAGTCCAAGTAGAAAATGTGCAGAAAGGATTTTAGCTTAGCTGTATTTTCGTCAGAAGGTTATCATGTGAATATTTATATTGGAGCTAATAAGCACCACTCTAATTAAAAACTGACAAAAACCAAAAAAAAGTTCCTGATGTAGGCTACTATAGACAGCACTTTAACATAGTTTGACCTCCAGTTGATGCAGTTTTCTGCTTTAAATTAGAATTTCTTTGTTTACAAACTTAATTTTCTAAGTTCCACATCTCACTTTTTTCAAACGTGAAAGCATTGGTCCCACCCTTGTAATGGTGTTTTAACTGTATTACTTTTTCTTAATATGAACAGTACAAAAAGAACAAAATAAGGCTTTTAAAAAATTGCACCTCAGTACCCAATTTAGATTACCGTAACAAAAAGCCACCCTCATACTTCTTTCCATTATTGTAATCTACAATGATGACACGTTTCTTCTGAAAGTAATAATTCTTTTGAAAGTAAATAATATGCTGTGAAAAAAAAAATTCTTTACAAGGTATGTATTCCCCAGCACACATCATTACTAAGTTTATTGGATTTTCATGGTACTTTTTGATCAATTAAAAAAATACAAAGTATTTCATACTCATCCAAGGATAAATAAAATAGTAAATAGAAAATATTTAAATAAAAAACGTAATGACCAATTGCATCTTTCTTAATAAAATCTTTAGCAACATTTAGTCCAGAGTAAAGCATACATCTTTTTAGTCTACAAAGGAACCCTGGAATTGAATATGATATAATTAGATAATAGCCAGGCAGTCTTGGTAATCTTGGATTGGTTTCTCATAGACAATGAGATATTGTTAAGTCCATGGTCTTTATGTTTGGTTTTCCATCTAACCACATTAAAATAATTCCTTGTTATTAAAGTATATATTCTGGAGATCCTTTAAGTTAAGGGACAGCCTTTGCAATATAATGCTTTGATTCTATAGCTGGTTTACTAACACAATTGGTTTTGAATATTCCCAGTTTGTATGTGCCAAGATCCAACAAAGCAAACCAATGTCATAAAATGGGAGACTATGTAAGCTTTTTGATGTAGGTCTCTAAAAGGGTCTGATGAGCCAGCTATGCTCTGATGGCTGGGTGGTGTTGGAATCTAGGATGACAAGGTTTTGGAATCAGATGGGAGGTGACTAAGACTTACATTATGGGTTAAATGGGATAGTGTTAATACTGTCAGGCAGTACAGATTTTAAAAAGGAGCAGAGTTCTCTCTGGAGTAGTTACTTGGGTAATACTCAAAGAGAAAGGTATAACAACTGGAACAGACAGGTGAAACTTTTTTAGTTTGGACTTTCTAGTACTAGAGCCTTGAACTTACACATTAGTCAATTTCTTCTGCAGGGCATCTAGATTGCTGATAACAATATCCAGTTCTTGTCTAAGACCCAAGGCTCTAAGAGACCTTTCTCAGCCAGTTCCGAATTTACAAGCTAATGGAACAGGGTGGAGCTGAGCAAAGTTGGGAAATTGGGAAGATTCTTTAATCCAATGATATTCTAGGGTTCTAATCCAGTCCTGTGTTTTCTCTAAATGAAGCCTTATTATTCTAAAAATCTTATTGGACAGAATTCCAAGCTTAGCCAGCTTATTCTTTGTTCACAACAAGGAGAAGTAGAAAGATCTGAACAAGACAGTTCTTTTGTTCCTCTGTCTTCATGGGAGAAGAGTCATTTTCCCTCCTGGAAGTAAGCCTATTAAGAACTGTGTATACTTCTTCAAAAATTCTTAAAAAGATGTCTGGTATTTGCTTCAAATTAAACAAATGGGGAGGAAGGAAGCATCAAAGTTTACCAATAAGGGGTAAATGGAGTGAGGAAGAATATGAATGAAACAAGATTGGCCATAAAGTGGTAACTTGAAGGTGGATGATGGATATATAGGGAATTATATTCTACTTTTGTATATGGTTTTCTGCAATTAAAGATACACACACACACACATATATTCAACATATATATATTACAGGTAAGAGCCCTACCTGGGTGACAATTCCCAAATACTTTCCTCTCCATCATGGTATAGGCCATTTAGGAAAAGTGACAATCAGACAAACCCATGTGCACATAACAGCCTTGAACTGTTTGGGGAAAATGATTTTTCAGTAATTTCCAAATTTTTCTCCTTCTTGTGAAAGTGCTTTAACCTGCAGATCTACGTTTTAGGTGGAATCTGTTTTGGCATATAGGAAAGCCTTGTGCCAGTAAAATCTGTGTTTTTCTTTTTTTTTCTAAGACAGTCTGTTTGTAACATAGGCTGAATTCCTATCTGTTCTACCTGGGCTGAGGTTTTCTAGGCCTGGTTTATAAGTGAACGAAAATCCACCTACTTTCCTCAAGCTCCACTGTAACCATGAACAACTTAAATAATCTCTTAACATGCTCTCTGCTTCCCTCAGCTCTTTAATGGCACATTCCTCACACAGCCTACAAAGTGATCTTCAGAATGTAAATATCACATTACTCCCTTTTTTAAACACCTTCCCCCCCATGGCTTTCCACTTCAAACTGCTCAAAGGTCTCATCTCTTCTCAGTCCCTCTTGCTCACCATTGTCCAGCCAAAGCTTGTCCACTTTAGTATTTGCAGGTTTCTCTGCCTTGCTTTTCCACAAGATCTTCATATGGCTGATTCCTTCTCGCCACTTAAGTCTCAGGTCAAATGTCATATCCTCAGAAAGGATTGCTTCTATCTACTCATCCAGAGCTATCTGTTTAAGCAAAGTTTCCAAAGCGTGCCAGAATTGCACAGGGTGCTTTTGTCTAACACTTTATTACTCATATGGTGGCAACACATAGGAGCTTGCTAGAAATGCAGAATTGTAGGCACTACTCCACACCTATTCAATAAGAATATACATTTTAACAAGTTCCCTAGGAGAACTATTATACACATTAAATTCGAGAAGCACTGGTTTATTAACATGCAAGGCTAACAGAATTCTCCATTTTCTGTTAATGATTATTAAAGAATAATTAATAACCAAATTGACAGAGTCTTAACTAATAGTACTGTATATCTAGGAACATGAATTCTATTAAATGCTGACTTATTTGAATATAGCAAGTTATTTTTATGCTCATTTGCAGAAATCTTTCCCAAATACATGAATCAAATTTTTTTCCTTTTTAATGTACATTGGAAACATAATTAGATGTATTCATTTCTCAGGACTGTGTCATTTAAGCAAGTTAAGAGTATTAGATCTCAGGTCTTAAAATGGGCACCTTTATTTATAGTATTTCATCATGGTTTTAGCAAATAAATACATTCTTGAATAAGCATAACATAGTCATCATAATTGTTTAAATTCTTAGTTCACGCTGTTAATGCACTAAATTCAAGACATTAGAAAAAGGACCAAACTTCCTGAGAGAAATTTAAAGTGAAAAGCCTTTTAATAAAGAATAAACATTACAACACAACTTTAAAAAAAACTCATAAAATCATGGAGTGCAATAAATGCTTTTTATTGTATGCTCATTTCAATGAGTAACATTTAGAAATAATAATCCCACGTAACAGTGACGATCTTATTTTACAGCGTGTACATCATTTACAGCCACATAACACACAATTTTAGATTTTCCAAATTTAATATTCTGAAGTTAAGAAAGATAAAAAATTTATTCTTAAGGAACTGATTCTTATCTGGTGCAAAAACAGAAAGGTGAACATTATTTGAAACACAAAGCCACGATACAGCATGAAGTTAAATTACATTTTAATTATATTGAATAGCTGAATGTAGACATGAAGCAACTAAAACTTAAAAGTACACATTATATGCGTTACATTTATGAACAGGATTTTCATTAAATTTCCCTAAACCAGCTTTTAATATTAAGCGCCATTTTGATTTGCAGCATGCTAACACAAAGCGTTGTTAAAGGGATGCATATTTTAAGTTTATACACTGTAAACTGAATATCCACCTCCAAACTCTATTGGCAGCATATTGTTCTGTTAAATACTGCATAAATACTGCCTCACATTGAAAATGCATGTTAATAATATGGTACACATAGATTTTAAAAATCAAAAATTTCAATAATGGCATAAAATTGCACCTTAAAACATTAGAGCAAGTAAGACTAGAACAATCATACTTGCTAAGACTGTCCAAAAAAAAAAAAACTCTAAACATTATAATATTTAAGAAAACTGTGTTCTCTCAATTTAATCTTTAGATCATTAAGAAATATAGTGCTGACTTTGTTTGTAACACTACCGTTGCATCCATTTTAGAAAGCCATATTTGACTCAAATATACTTTTGTCATATATGACATACCAAAACAATCAACTTGAACATCAGAAAAAAGGGAACTTTAATCCTTAGACTTAACCTTAGATTTCAGCACAGAATGCTATATTTTAAACATCCTATCCTGTGATAAAATATTAGCAGCTCTGAAATTCTTTTTTTTTAATACTACTGAATTAATCTAACCTGTTTTCCAGTGAAATTTCCTTTAATGAATACACAAAACTTTTGCCATTTCTGGAATTCAATGTCCAAGTACAATATAAAAGGCTCAATGACTAAGTGACTGATGGATGACTGCACTTTATTTCCCCACCCCATTTGTA